GGTGCGGCCATGGCCTCTCGTTAAGGCAAACACAAGTGCTGCGTTGTCGCAGTAGACCAAAGTACGTGGTGGCGCACACAAAAGCGCGAAAAAAACAGCAAAAAGTTCTCTTCTGTAGATCCCTGCCGGTGAGGGGCTGATGACAGCGACGTTGCCGCTGCTTGCACATACGCCAAGCCCGGAGAGGCTGGCGTCAGAAAAAACGACGTGCTGCACTGTCGGGGGCACGAAGGGGACTGCGGCAGGTAGCATGGTCAAGATGAACGAAAAAATCTGGATCCATTCCAGTGGTGGGGGGGTACCGGTGGCGGCCGCTTGGTGCAGCGGGCGCAATGCATGAAAATGTCCTTGATAAAGTGAAAAATAAAAGTTCCAGAGTCCGGCGAGTCTCTGGTAGGTGGAGATGGGCGGGGGGACCTTGAGGGTCTGCAGGGTTCCGATCAGGTCCTGGTAGCGTTTTGGAGTATGCCCGATGGTCTCGGTGTGGCCATCAAGGAGAAACCCCAAAAAGCGTATGCGCCTTGTAGGTACAAAGTGTGAGTCATCCGGGTTTATTCGGAACCCACATTTGACGAGATCCTGGACGAAAGTCGTCGTGGCTCGTTGGATAAAGCCGGGGTCGTGATGGGCGAACAGGAAATTGTCAATGTGCGACCAGCACCAAAGGCCCCTTGCCCTAGCCTCCCTGGTCAAGGCCGTCGCCAGGTGTTGCATGATGAATGGGGCGATCCTAATGCCGAAAGGAAGCGCGGTGTACCTGTAGTACGTTCCGTCGAGGCGGAAGCAAGTCAGCGGTCTCGTACGATGGTGTAACTTGAAATGATAAAAGGCATCCTTTAGGTCTACCCTCGTGAAGAAGGGTGCCTTGGGGAGGGGGCATTGCGTTAGAACTCTTGGAAGGGGTGGGAGGCAAAAGGCCGGTGCTGGTAGGTGTGGTGTCAAATGGGAACAGTCGAGTACAAATCTCGACAACGTCCTGGACTTGGGAACCACTTGAATTGGTGAAAGAAAAGGGCCTCTGGTGGTCTCCTCAATGATGCCGGCGCGGAGCATGGACGCAACAGCTTCGCGCAGGACTGGTAAGTGTGTGCGCGGCGGTTTGCGTGCGTTAAAAACAGAGTTCTTTTTTGCTCGGATGATGAGCGCCGCGGGGTCAAAAGGGGGACAAAAACCAAACGTAGAACTCACACGTTTCTAGTTGACTGTAGGTGGGGGAAGACTGGCCCTGACTGGTGGGTGCGGGGTGCCGACGGCCAGGAAGGCTGGTCTACGGCTGTCTTCTTCGTTGTCGTTGTTCTCGTCATTGGGCAGTTAAAAGGGCTCGTGGATGTCCAGCCAGCGGAGAATCCGCAGGGCGGCATCCTCGAGGCTGTCGTTGTCCTGTGTTGCCTCGGTGTCCGAGCTTTCGGAGGAAGGCTCCGATCCGCTGTCGTCGGTAGATGGGAGCTCGGTAGGGGTGAGGTCTTGCGTCGGGCTTTGTCTGGGAAGGCCAGGCATATCCGACTGGGGGTGGTGGCTAGGTATCCCCGATTCCCGCACTGCTTGGGCCAAAATATCTTGTGGGACGATCAGGTCCTGGAGGATTGCTAGAGTGGGGATCCCGTCAACGATTGCCAGGACTGATTGGGCGTTGCCCAACACAAGTTCAAGTGGAGCCGGCACTCCTGTGGCGGCGTCGTAGTAGTTAAGCAGTTCCTGGCATTCACGGGGAATCACAACTCCCGGGGGGAGCGGCATGGGGGACACTGTAGTCACTGTGGCGTTTGCGTCTTCTTCGGGAAAGCCTTGGGGGATGACTGTATCGCCGGGTGTCTGGTAGTCCAGCGGGGAAGGCCCGGTGGTCATGACACGTGGAGATGGGCAGGGGGACCTTGAGGGTCTGCAGGGTTCCGATGAGGTCCTGGTAGCGTTTTGGAGTATGCCCGATGGTCTCGGTGTGGCCATCAAGGAGAAACCCCAAAAAGCGTATGCGCCTTGTAGGTACAAAGTGTGAGTCATCCGGGTTTATTCGGAACCCGCATTTGACGAGATCCTGGACGGAAGTCGTCGTGGCTCGTTGGAGAAAGCCGGGGTCGGGATGGGCGAACAGGAAATTGTCAATGTGCGACCAGCACCAAAGGCCCCTTGCCCTAGCCTCCCTGGTCAAGGCCGTCGCCAGGTGTTGCATGATGAATGGGGCGATCCTAATGCCGAAAGGAAGCACGGTGTACCTGTAGTACGTTCCGTCGAGGCGGAAGCAAGTCAGCGGTCTCGTACGATGGTGTAACTTGAAATGATAAAAGGCACCCTTTAGGTCTACCCAGGGATGGGCAAAATACATGCAAATATGTATCGAAATACAAATACAAAATACTTCGTCAAAAATGTATTTAATTACAAATCTAATTACATTTCCAAAAAAGCATTTAAGTGCAAAATACAAATACAACCAAATGTATTTGGTCTCCTCCAAATACTTTTTCAAATACATTCCTCAAAATTTGCGTCAGCGACTTCAGGGCACCTTCAACGGGTTTCTGGGTATCATTTTAATTTTGCATCGCACACTCGGGAGTTAGTGTGCGGGGCTCTAGTAACCTAATAGAAATATAATCACGAAAAAATGTAATCTGCTTGGACGTAATAGGTGAAAAAAGTACAGAGCTTCAAGCAGCTTCTTTTGTCGTTTACATTTTGGTATAAACCAACAAAGAACCGAGACGATCAAGACGCGCAGCACTAGCTGGAGAATTTTTTATTGTTGCAACTCGCACCAGTTACGAAAATCTGGACGACCCGCGCATTTAGAATGTTCCAGGAAAAAATATGGATGGAAATCAGGCTGGAAAGCACCACAAGTTGTCACAGGCACTTATTCAGCCAGTCTGCCTGTGAACGTCGATTTCGCTCTTGCCCTAGACTAGCACCGTAATCACAAAGTCACTAAACGCTTGAGCTTGATTGAAAGACACTGCATTCGGTGCAGAACATAGTTTTTTTCCTGCTCTGGACAGTGACAATAAATTTTAGAGATGTATTTTCGCCCACGAAATTGTATTTAATTACAATTGTATTTGAAATACCCACGTTTTAGTATTTAAATACTCACGTCAAATATATTACCCAATTTGTAATTAAATACAAATGCAAAATACACGAAGTATTTAAAATACGTATTTCAAATACTTGTATTTGAAATACTGCCCATCCCTGGGTCTACCTTCGTGAAGAAGGGTGCCTTGGGGAGGGGGCATTGCGTTAGAACTCTTGGAAGGGGTGGGAGGAAAAGGCCGGTGCTGGTAGGTGTGGTGTCAAATGGGAACAGTCGAGTACAAATCTCGACAACGTCCTGGACTTGGGAACCACCTGAATTGGTGAAAGAAAAGGGCCTCTGGTGGTCTCCTCAATGATGCCGGCGCGGAGCATGGACGCAACAGCTTCGCGCAGGACTGGTAACTGTGTGCGCGGCGGTTTGCGTGCGTTAAAAACAGAGTTCCTTTTTGCTCGGATGATGAGCGCCGCGGGGTCAAAAGGGGGACAAAAACCAAACGTAGAACTCAAACGTTCCCAGTTGACTGTAGGTGGGGGAAGACTGGCGCGAGTGGGATGGCGACAAATACGACTGCTCAGTAAACAGGCATTGCCGATCATATTTTGCTGGTTGAAACGAACCCCCTCATCCTTGACAGCGAGCGGGGAAATGCGAAAAAAAGGTTGTAGCGGCCGTTTTTCCAGAGGTAGTGACGAGTGTCGCCTGCTTCTTTCGTGAACTATTGCGCCATAATCGTAATCTTCGCGAGGAAATGATTGTTGCTAGCCACATAACACTATCACGCAGAAAAGGAATACTTAAATATGTTTTTATTCTAGATATAAGTCAGGGATATATATAAGAGAGAGAGAGAGAGAGATGGGCGGGGGAGCTAGAGGGGAAGAGAGAGGAGCATATAGTGTCGTAAAAAACGAAAATAAACAAAGTTCCCAGTGGCCAATGGCTGCAGGATCTTTTCTTGGATCTCTAGTTGGTATTATGATACCTCTTTGTATACCGTAGTTTCTCCTCACTTTTACTGTGTGAACGATTGCTATAGCTATCAATGGCCTCAGCTCAATAAAAATATCTAAAATGTGTGTGTTAGTTTCATGAAACTGGAACTCAGAGTGACTTCTCGCATAGGGCACTGCTTAGGGTACGCTTGGGAAAACGACCCTATTTTGGGGAGTTGTGTCTTCTTTCTCAAACAAATAATGCAGCATGCTTTATTAGAAACGACTGCCTAACTAAAGCAAGAAGGGGTACCTAAACTCTAAAAATTAAAAGGTGGTGCTTTTTTTGTTTTTATTATTCGCATCGAAAGTTTTCCTTGTTTGATTTTTTAGCCATGTTTGCCTAAATATATCCCAACTACCGTATAACTCAGATGCCTTAGACATTTTTTTTTTAATAATAGGCATATATAAGTAAAATACGATCTGAAGAGTATATGATTACGATTAAATTATTTCATGAGATACTGGCCTCCAAATTTTGCCATTTGTCATTCGAGCAGGCATGTTGGGCTATTAGAAAAATTAATATAATTCAAATAAATATTCTTACCACATATTACAAGCGAGCTATACCTAAAGTGTGTTTCTAAAAAGTATTATAACTCGTCTAATTTTATCGTTTTAGTTATTCCCCTTTAAACGTGCCCCCTCCATCGGTGCGCGTTAATACAACTGTCCACCTCTTCATGCCTTCCGGTTTTTCCTCTCCCAAACTTTTTTCTGATCAAAACTAAGTGTGGGTTTGTCTATACAAAACACTAGGCAATATTATATAAAAACATAAGTTATTTAAAAATGTCGACCAGCCACCCTTCAGGTGATCTTTTCTGAAATCAACATACCATAATTAACTATATAGGTATCACTATCGGTAATTTTCTCACTATCAATAGTTGGTTCGGCTTCAAGTATTGATAGCACCCATGGGACTACCGATTTATTTGCACCACTAGTGTACACAGTGCGAAAAGTCAGTGTGCTCAACTTTATTTAGCCTGGTTTAGGTTTAGTTCTTCTAGTGAGAAGTTCTCCTACTGATCTTTCTTTGACTTGCGCTTAGGTTTCTTAGGCTTCTTAGTTTTCTTCTTTTTTTGCTTGGGCTTTTCAGTGGGCGCAGGAGTGTTGTCATCAGTCTCGTTGGGCCCACCTGAATTATTTGTCAAATGACATTCTCCGTTTTGACAAATTCCCTTTTCGCCAGTGTTGTACTGAAAATGACAAAGTAAAAAAGTGCATATTAGATTAATATATTCATGAGAAGAAATTTTCGGTAACGGAACAGTTTAAAGTATGAGATCACATTATTTTAAGACTGTTCAACCGAATGTACCCCAAAATTAACCGCTACGCTTAACGGTACAAATAACGCATTAGAGTTAGTAGTAAAAACGCTCCACGAGACATGATTTTACGCGACGTCATATGGTGGTGGATTTTTCCTGCCAATTTTATCAAACTCATTTAGGTGGCATACGTCATTTGTAAAAATAAATAAAACACTGTAAGCGTAGCTGAAAAGGATTATGCTGTGCCGATTAAGAAAATAAGATACTTCCAAAAAGAAATGCGAGAATGTTGTCCGTCTCCTTTCGAAACATGTCTGTTTACGGTTAAATCACTAATTCGCGAAGTTTCGAAGCGGATCCCGCTTGTGTTTTTTATGAAGAAATTAATGGAGGGACGTTACCCGGAAAATTAGAGCGGTAAGCGCTCTTGGCAAGATTTCACGGGAAATGACGGTATCATATGGCACTGTGACGTCACGTGATACTTTAAAGTAATCACACCGAGTCACTTAAAGGAGTCATGAAACGCTTTTTCAGCTTTTTTCTGTTTAGCTTTCCTCCTCAACTCATAAATCGCGCATTGTACCAAACAGTTCAAGAAGTCGGAAAGGGGGGAGTCCTCTCTTGCTCGGAATCTCGCTTGTTTAGCCCGGACACAGCCATTGTCCCCCTAGAAGATTAGCCCGTCGCTCAAAATTCGGACTAGTTGCTTTCCCCACCCCGTTCACCCCGAAGCTGACAGTGCTGTGGAAGCAACGTGCTGGTTGGGCCAGCCACACATTTTCCACGTGATCACGCTCTCTTGCGCATAACGACCCGCAGAGAATGAGGTCAGGTGATGAAAGCGAGGCGGCTGATTGGTCCGGCAAGCGCGTAGCTTTCACCGCAATGTCAGCCTAGGGGTAAAAGGGTCCAAGTGAGGTCCGGTGTCGTGTGACGTGCGCTTGGGCCCTGGTGACGCGGTGCGGGGGCCCGGTTATGGTGGCTAGTAGCCCGGTGACGCGCTGCGGGGTCCGCAGATGTATCACAGTGAAAAGGCGGAGAGTTTACGAAGGGAAGGAGGTACGAAATAGTCCGCTATGTTTTGCAAATTTTTGTAGCGAAAGTCAGACTTCTGACTTTCTACCTTTGTTCTTTTGGCCCACTGAACGATGTGCTATTAGTAAAATCCCAATATAAATTGATTTACTCCAGCCCAAAATTAGTTTCATGGGTCCTTTAAATTAAGCGACGAAAACTTGCGTCGCCATTTGACGTCAGGTCTGTCGTGTAAAGCGTTCTCCTGCTATCTCAGAATGTTTGCTGTTATATATAGCGGAGAAACTAACCTCACCTTATGCTTCGGCGTCACATAAAACGGTTCCCTGCTAGATTATGGGGGGAAGCTTTAACCGCTACAGAGGGCGGGATACTCTGAGATCACGTGACAACACGTAACACCACGACGCCTAATGGCGTTACTTCTTTATGTGAGATCAGACATGGGATGTCATTGTTCCACGTTTCTTGACAGTATTACTTTGCCTCGTGATATCTAAACCTTTCTGGATTGATTAGATTCGCTGCATAGTGATTGTGCACCGACCCTCCGCAGCGGGGCGTGCAGCGCATCGCCTGTGATCTCAATTAATTTCTGGGACACGACTAGTTACCATGAATTTGTTTCGGCTTAGTGGATGAAGACAAGACTTTCGTCATGTGTAACTACTTTGCGTCTCTTGTTATTGAAAAGTCACCACCCTCAGATTAAGTGTTAAACCTTTATATTATTTAGACATACTGCCGGCTGCCATTTGGCAGCCAAGGCAGGAGAGGGCACACAGGGCAACAATATATATAATACTGCCATATCATCTTTAGGTTTATTATGGTCGGGGAATCATACAAAAAATTTGAAATGTCGGCCGAAACGTGGCAGTAAACGAACTAAAGAAAGAGAGCAGCACGTACGTGCCTCCTCATTTGCAATTTCCTAAAACCGCTTTAGTGAAAATGTTTGCAAGTTGAAAGGAATTATACTATTTACCGGAAAGGCATACAAGAAAAACCTATGACCTGCAGGTGCGGCAGCACGTGAGTGTGCTAACTAGATTAGGCTTGCTACTCACAAAGCATTTTTCTCCGTCCCCAAAGAAAAATTGGTCCCATGAATTGGTGCCAGAGTTCCAGCAGTAATAGTCGCAGCCTTCTCGGTTTTCCTCCTGTAGAAATCATAAGCAGTGTAAAAAAAGTGGAACAGATATTCGCAAGAACTTGCTTACACAGTGTGAATAGCGTGTTATTAATTTACAAAATTAAGTATTGATTCGTGGACGAATTTACGTTCATTTAATTGCTTTATTAAAATTCACAAAAGCAAAAGTGGACTGCACATAATCGTTGCTCTCATTTATAAATCACCCAGCGAAATGTTTCCAAAGGTGAAATTAAAGCACGTTTACCGATGCGGGTCTCGTTCCGTTCTGGCAATTGTGGGCTGCAGCGCTGCCGAAGAAGGCCACACACACTGCAGGCAATGAAGCACACAAAATTCAATTCAACTGAAGCCAAGCTTAAAAGCTTTATTTAACCGTTTGCCTTCAGCGTTTGTTTTGTATATATTAGTGTAAAAATGAAATAAACAAAAGGCATTCATAAATTATTCGCTCATTGATGTGCGCGTAGAGACGCCTATGCAGTAGAAGAAGCGTTTTTTTTTAGAAATAACCATACAGTTTCATATCAAGGGGGAGTAATGCAGTCATTGGGCTAGCTCATTAACCGATTTCTACCACTGCGAAACTGTTGCATGTTCTTAGTTCCTGCATCCACGGGTGTTATAAAGTGTATCAATTTTATCTGGTGCAACAACTTAAATGATGATCAAGTGGTGGCAAGAACATTTTTCCTCAACTCGGTATTTACTGACATGAAGATATGGAAAAGAAAATGTCTGCACTTGTCAAAAGGTACAATTCGTAATTTAGTCCTCAAAGTTGTGCGCGTGTCTGTTCAACCCAGCACACTCAACCTATGATAAACCGATCTCGAAGGGAGTAAGGAGGACCCTAGTGCTGTCTGGTGTCTTCGAAGCAGTTTCACGAAATGTATATGCAAAATCTACTGTGCGATTGATTTTCGAGAGTTTGAGAAAAGTAGAAAAAAAAATACATCGCTGTCGTTTTTAAAGGCTGGTTGAAATTCGGGTGGAAACCTTTTTCTCGGAAAACATTTTGTGCACACCGAGTCTATCCCTAAAAAAAACAAAAAAACATTTTGTCCTTGAAAAGAAAAAAAAAAAAAAAAAAAAAAAAAGATTGTGGGCATCAGCGCTTCCGAAGAGCGCAAGAGACACTGCAGGAAAGAATGCCCACAAAAATCAATACGTGTAATGTCACCCTTAACAGTTTGTTTTAACCTGTATTTCAGCTCAACGAAAGTAAGTCATATATTAATGTAATAATAAATAAACAAAAGACGTTGATGAAATATTTGGTTATTTTTGTTCGTCGGGAAACCCACACATAATATGAAAGCGTTTTTTTATAAGAAAAAAAAAACAACGTAGAGTGTAACATTTAGGAGCAGAGATACGGTCGATGGGAAAACGCAGTAACCGATTACCGCCACTGCGAAGCTGTTGGATGTTCTTAGTTACCAGATCCACGTCTCATGTTATCCAGATGACATCTTAAACATAGTTTGTATTAAGAATTCGGTTGTTTAAATTTAATATGGGATAAAGCCTTACATTATGACCAAGTTGAAGGAAGAACACCATTCCTGAACTCGGTATCTATTCGTATAAAATTTTGCACGAGAAAATGTCTACACCTGTGAAAAGACACAATTCGTAAGTTTAGTTAACATCCCACGGAGTCGATGTTAAGATCTCGCAGGTAGTAAAAAGAAACCTATAGGCTGGTTGCTATCTCCAAAGGAGTTTCACGAAATGTATTTTCAAAATCTACTGCGAGATTAATATTTTTTATGGCGTCAGAATAAACAAAAAACAAGAAATAACATCGCTAGTGTCTTGAAATGCTAGGTGAAATGCAGAGGGAAGTCTCTTTGATCGGAACACATTCGATGCAAACCAAGCCTATCCGTGTTAAAAAAAAAGGTATCCTTTCAGCCTATTTAAAAATATATCATTCATTTTAGCAAACGTATAACATAAATAATTTGAAATGAATAGTTTTCGCGGTAGGTATTTTTTGGCGCGTTTTTGTTTAGTGCCTGTTATCTCCATCAGAGGGCAGGGGTCACATGTTGTAGATTCTGAACGACACCGACGGCTGGGGAAAAGGTAGTGGTGTCCAAAAAATACATTATTATATCTGAGAGTTATGCATTCTGAACTTTCATTTACCACAAATCAATTTTCTAAACCTATTTCCTCGAATGTACGTAACAAAGTCAGTGATGTTAATACTTATAAAAAATAATAAAAATAGATACTTCACTGAACAGAATCACTTGAGCATTACTTAGCTTGAAAATACTTATAGAAAATAATTTGAGCTTGATATATATTACCATATGCCTTATTAGAATATGTCATAAAATCCTCCAAAAATGTAACACCTCACCCAACACCAGCGTGGTTCCGGTCAACCCCATATTTGGTGTACTAGTTCTCAACGAGGATGTGAAAGCCTATGGCGACTAGAGTCGAATTTTATATAGTCGCAAAAGTAGCGGCCTTTACATTTTTAATTGTTTAACTTTTTTTCCACTTGGAGCTAAGTCTGTTCTACCAAATAAATAGCTTTTTCATGCTGGATTGCGTAGCTGTTCCTTTGCTCTTAGCATACGCAGTTTGACATATACATGTCAAGAGTCTGAAACGACATTTCCACGATGACGCATCTACATGTTAAATACACCGTCAGAACGGACGTCAACGCTTTCTGGGGAAAATGCTCCGACCTTTTAATCTTGAGCTGCAACTTTAAGTCTGCCATGGGACTGATGAAAATCTGATCAGCGTATCTGTTGATTACAGTTCATCCGAAATAAACAAAACACAAGTCTGTATGCGATCCGAATACATAAAATTTACTACTTTGAAGGGACTCCGTTTCATGAAAAAAAGGAAATATGTCAACTTGTCTAGTATGTTATTTATACAAACGTAATTTAGCTATGTGAGGACCGACTCGGTATGTTAAAAAGCCCGTAAGAGCTTATGTTAATAAGCCCTTGAGGGTAAAGCGTAATAGCCTTTCATGGTTGAAAATAAGGTGCACGTGACGTTTCAATCATGAGCATGCAGAACGATGTAAGAAACGAACGCGCCGCTCAAGTCTGTTTTGCTCGGACAGAGTGTGACCGCTCGGACGGCAAATTCCTGGCCCTCGGCGCTTGACGTACGAATTATGTCGATCGTTCCGCTAGTCGCGCTCTTCCACCATGATTTTGGATGACCGTGATTTAAACATCACCCGCATCACATTTTTAGTCACCAAGGGTTACTCTGACGCGCTTATTAGGTTTGTTTCGCGCGACCACCGCCAGAGTAATATTTCCTGCTTCTGGTTGGTCACATTCGACTTTGTGAAGACGCTCTGAAACACACCCAGACTGCATGCAGCCAATGGCGCCTCCTCATTTGTCTTCTCTGCCTCCCAACGAATGGCCAAACTCTCTACCTAAACGGCTCTGGTTGTGGCCGGCCGCGATCCCGGCAATGTCGTAGCAGCGGTGGTGGACGTGGCGGACTGCGTTTCTGCTGCAACTTTCTCTCCATCTTTACACACCACAGAAGCTTCAGCAGCCAGAGTTCGGGACTCCGCGACGACTGCGACACACGCGTTCTCTGGTGTTTTTTTTTTGTTTTTTTTCATAATTCCTATTTTAAACTACCAGGACCACCACGTCCAACAGCACGACACTCCATCTTTTTTTACGCCATTTGTTGCCACTTGAGGATCATTTGCGATGCATGAACACGCCGAGTAGGATATTTTCTAAATTATCAACCCTGCTAAAGTACTGATAACCAGGATTTCGCGATATTGGCTCTAGGAAAACAACTATCTTTATATGAACATTTGCTTACTCAAGATATTATATAAGTGACAGACCCGTTAATTAAAATCTTGCATTTGTCTTGAGTAAAATTGGCCAAATAAAATTGAAGGGCACAGGAGGAGAAATACCTCGGAAAGTTTGGCTGAATTCTAGCGCTAGGCACCACATCACGGATCTGTGTGAACAAATATTTTTTTGTTTGAACCGATTCGCTTTGTGAATTTAGGCGTCACCAGCAACCAAAAATAAACCTCTATTCGCCATCGACAATCTCATAGACTAAGGTAATTTATATGCAGACGGTTTTTTTTTCGCCGTCAAATATTGCGGTTTTTAGATACTGGCAAAAATTAAAACAACGTAATTAAAAAAAATACGTCATTCTCTCTGCTCATTCGCGCAACCCAAACTGCGTATTGAATTTGCAAGTAGAAACGACGTTATTTCACTGTGCACGCTAGTTGAAAACTCTCTATTGTTAAGTGACTGTGGCCCTTCCATCCGCGGGAAGTCCCAACCTTTGTGTTAAAATGAATTAAGTGGTTGGCACTGGTTATCTAATTATAAACAATAAATAACTGAAGTGACTGTCGAAATAGGACTCTGTACGGAAAACAATTTTTTAAACTTCATAAGTAAACCGAGCAACCGAATGTTTACTTCGCAAAAAAAGATTGAGAACCCCGTATACATGTAGGTGTGATATTATGAACAAAGCTTCGTCGGTCGATATCTTACCAATGAAAATTTCAAAAACCATTTATTTCGTATGAAAAGATAAAGCTTAGTTCCGAAACTTCGGCACTCTGTTCGGACAGCAATGTGTAGTTTATTTTGTCGTTAAAGAACCACCGTATATATATATATATATATATATATATATATATATATATATATATATATATATATATATATATATATACATACAACACGGGCACTTCACACCATCGTAAGTGGTCTCCGAGGAGGATATAAACGAACATATGCAGATGAATGAGCCGTACTTAATCCAATGAATCAAAGTTATTCAGGAATCCGCCGAAAGCCAAAAAACGGCGGAGCCAGGATATCATCTCTGGGCCTCTCAATGTCCGGTCGGGTGTGCTAACCTCTACACCACTCCACCATGCTTTCTGGCGTTTCCTACCTGTCTTATTAATGCACAAGAAACGAAATGTATCCAATCGGAGGTGTTCTGGAAGCACACGCCGCCGCGTGGAACGTAGTACGACGCTTGTTGTACGTGGTACGTGCTCGTTTGTGCTCCAGTAATCCTCCCACTGTTTGTCTCGCCCCGTGTACGTGTAGTAGTATTCTTTGTTTGTGAGCTTTAGAGACACGGTATCATCATCATCTGCGAGAATGGAGAGCCACGTTATTGAATATACAACACGGGCACTTTACACCATCGTACGTGGTCTCCGAGGAGGATATAAACGAACATATGCAGATGAATGAGCCGTACTTAATCCGATGAATCAAAGTTTTTCAGGAATCCGACGAAAGCCAAAAAACGGCGGAGCCAAGTTAAAAAACAGTTCCGCCGTTTTTAACTTTGATTCATTGGATTAAGTACGGCTCATTCATCTGCATACGTTCGTTTATATATGTATACATGTATATATATTTTTTTTTTTTTTTTGGGGGGGGGGGGGGGGGGGAGGGCCTCCTGTATTTCAAAAATGGAATATAGAAAATAAGTTTTCCTTTTATCCAAGTAAAGGTATTTTTGGAAATTAGAATTTTTATGAGTCAAAAAAGTCTGTGAATGTTAAAGGGAATACTGTGCACTTTGCCGCGATCCGTTCGGAAAAGAGAAACGCCACACTTATATTTTTGTCAAAGTAATGTCATTTCTCCATAATTTCGCATTTTATCCCCTTGCATAGCAACATATTTAAATCGGGTTTTGTATTTCTGCGACGCGTAGTTTACTTACCAAAGTTGACTAAATATTCTTAATTTCCTAATTGAAATTGGCTATAAATATACCAATAGAAAACTCACAAGGGACAATCTAAGAAAAACAAAAAAAAAAGCTTCAACGACATATGAAGAAAGGTAACGATATTTCACTATCAATACTTTTGTTTCATAGCTTTTCAACAACTGTTTTTCTAGTGTTTCTTTATGCGGCAGGTTTGCGAAATTCTATTGTCAACTGTTTCTGAGGAGGATTTCTATCGCTCTACGAGCGGTTTTAGATTTTTCCTCGATAATTATGCCGAAGTACCCAATCGCATGCTGTTGAGTTTTCCTCCGAGCTTGCCCGTACGAAAATGTCAGCTATGGCCCTGATATCATTTATATACGCCCAGATATGATAATATAAGCTGTCAAATATGGCTGTATTCCGCCATATATGGCAGCAAATACGGCCATATATCACCATATACGTGTGCGAATATAGCCCCTGATAATGATATATGGGCCCCTTTCGGTCGTGCAAGCAACAAGCTATATGTACTCACTAAGACACTAGTTGATTGATCTATATTGCATGAGTCTCATGTAATTGGCTAACTATTGTCAACATCCTTAAAGTGAAGCTATTCCAGGTATTTGGACCTATTAATCAATTGCGCATTTTGAAGATTGAAAGACAAATGAAATTTGGTTGTATGTTTGATTTGTTACATTATGACGAAGTGCAATCGGAACGCGAGTTAATCAAATTATGGATGTTAGTCCCAGCTCTTAGGCACCCGTTTCCGAGTTAAGCGGTGTCGGTGTCGCCATCGGTGTAACCGCCCCGCTAAATTTAGCGAGAAATTGAATTGGTACGCATGGTCACGTGACGTCAATTTTCCCGCGAAATCTGGCAGTCAAACTAATTTCTTTTCATGTTTCCCCGCTAAATTGGGCGGGTAAACACGAGCCGTTAGCTTACTCAAGATACAAGACGCTACTTCGTCGCCCCGAATCCTTTTCCCTTCGAACGGCTGCGAAGCCGTTGCGCCAGGAGTACAATAGGCAGCTCTTTCAAAAACCGATCGCGCAGCATTGCATCCGTTCGTTTGCGAGCATCGGCGATTCATCGTGTGTTGAAAGTCGAAAGATGTGCTGTCCGTGGTGTCTTTTATGTCTAACTTGTCCGTAAAAGAATTTGAAACAGTGTACACATCGTTTTAATTTTATTGGTAAAAATATATATCTACATATTTATTTATCTATTTATTCGTCGGCGTCATGCTCAAAAAAATAGTCGCGTTTATTTTTAGATTTAAAATTGTAATGTGGGTTATACAGCGTAAAACATAGTATCTTGAAACTCGCATCGTTTTGAGTTCAAAAGCTGGACTTCATAGAGCTGTATGTTCACTCAGTATTGACAGCAGGGTAGACGCTACGCGTGTTTTAGGCCAATCGTGTCTCCTGTTAGGGTCAGGTGACTACAGTCTAGAATCTAGTGACCAACGAGGTAGAGGGGCTTAGAGTGATAAATCGGAAGTTCGGAAGTGGCACCCCCCGGTTGCCGCCATGTTTTATGCAAATGTGACCACTCGTCACGTGACCTTCCAAGAGCCGTGACGTCACAGGTAAGATGGCAGCGCCCAGAGCTGGTGGATGCGAGTTTGTTCGGTGCGCGGTAGCCGTGATGTGCAGCTGCTTTCCGACGACTTCGGGCTTTTTCGTGTTCGCTGACGCAGGTATAATGTGAAATTTTGAAGGAATGAGACTTTATACCCTTTTTGCGCAAGATGG